CGTGTGAACATTTAGCATATGCTTAACTATGGTTTCTGTAGTGGAAGAGTGAAGAACTGAGCAAAGTTTTAATATGCAAAGGTCTTGTGCAACTGCAGATTTCAGCCACAGTACCTAAATACCAACTGTAGTACTAACAAGCATAACTAGGGACTTCCTTTGCATGGTAGGCTTTGGACTTAACGTGCAATATTGTATTGTTGGTAATATGCTGTACTGATCCTTCATTGTTGGACTACTTGAACACCAAAATTGTTCCATCTTCCCCTACTACTACATGATTGAAACTTAAATGAGCCATTTTCCTGAAATGTCAGCACTGAATTGCACTGCAGTGATACTTGAAGAAAATTATCATTTGTCTACATAAAGCTAAGGTTTTGACTGTCTGACCAGGTAAGAAGCTTGTGAAGGCTGACATATGCTCTTGCAAAGCCTGAGATAGTTACATACACATTAATACTTAGACAAGTACAAAATTATATTTGGAGTAATGTACAAATGGGGTTACTGCAGCTCAGCATCAGGCAGTGTAAGGGAACTGTGCCTCAGCTTTCATAAATGCTATGTCAGACACTGAGTGTTTCTTCAGTGGCAGATAAAATACTGTCAGTAGTGGTGCTGGAATGATTTGAACAGTTACTCCACCATACCAAACCAAAGTGACATGTTATCTAGTTCAGTTTACAGGAAGAGTATAATAGGATGTTAGAGAGAAGGTACTAAGGCTGGCAAATTTACACAGGTGTGCTGTAGCGTCCAGAGAAAACTAAATCCTTCAGTCCTCTTCTCAGCAAAATAGCCTGATTGTCTAGGAGCATTTAAAAAATAGGTATAATATAAACTGTTTCACTCTTTGCATTTACCAAGTTTTTCAAAGATGAGCAGACACTTGCATTTTCATACATACTTAAGTATCAGGAACAGAGCTAAGCCCAGTCAATGACATAAGCGTAGAGCTGAATAAATGTGTGGGACTTTATCTGAGCATTAAAAAGAAGCTGTTTTTTTTATTGACATGCAGATTTGAGTGGTCTGTGCTGTCATGTCTGTAGTTGCAGAAGAGTATTTCATCCAGGTTCACTAACTGGGGTGATAGGGAAAATCTCACTTTGATTTTAAGTATCCAGTAGTATCACTGAGCTCAAACTTGTTCAGATACGCCCTTAATTATGAGGGATCTTAAGATGCATAGTATGTTGTTCTGGTTGACTCCTGTATAAATATACTGGTTTAGTGCAATATACACTTTAAAAGCGAAAATCCTCAAGTATTGTTAGTAAAGGTACAGAATTCAGTTTCAGGATGCATTCTCGAGGGAGAAATTAAGGCATTTATTTACTGGGGTGTTTAGAGAAGCAAAGAATATCTGGATATTTTTTAGTTATATGTACAGCAGAATCTAAAACTTCAACTTCGCAAACTGACCAGTTCTAAGGGGAAAGATTGGTGGCTGCTGGAGGAACTCTGCTGATAGAATTAACAGTGAATGCTCTGTCCTGAAGTAAAACTATAGAGCTTTTGCAGTGTCAATAAAGGGAGAGAGGTCTGACTCCTAAGGAAGGATTAGGCTGACAGTTATATGGGCAGCTGAGCCAATCTAATAGCTTGCTTGGTGATGAAAAAAATGGCACTTCTGTGCTCCCAGCTGCAAAGGGTCCTGTAGTTGTTCCAGCTCTGCTGATGGGCAGCTTAGTTTTATGCTGGGTTAGTAAATTTCTTGGTTCATGACAGGTCTGAGCACAAGAGCCAGCACAAACCTGCAGGTGGAATATGTTGTGGGAAGGGGGGGATGGGAGAAGTAGGGCAGCCAGCAGTCCTGTAACTTCGCAACTTCAGGAAGCTGTATCTGTTCCTGTCTGCTTTATAGCAAATTTGACTATATTGGATTCTACTAATCTAGTGTAGACACAAGACTGAAGTGATGACCAAAGTAGTTTTTTGCAAGTCTGTCACCTCCCATGAGTACTTGGAAGTCTTTGGACTTAATTTGAGCCCTTTGATTTTTTAAGTTTCTTAATAAAATTCCTTGTAGAATGAGTAATGACAGTAAAGAATGGAAATATTAAAACTTCTACCACTATACTAAAATTTAGCACTGTAGCTTCAACTTGCACTATGTGAAAATAGTTCAGTTTATTTTCTTGTAAGTGTAATATTGCAAACTATTTGCTATAAGTCTTCTATATCTTCTAGAGGTAGAAGCAATTCTATGATCCTGATTCCTCAAAGAGGAATTCAGGTCATCGAGATGTATTAGTTTTTAGGGCTGGTTTTCAATTAAATTATGAACTTGACTCTAAGCTGGACAAATAAAATATGTTAAAGTTAACTTGCTGGTTTATAACTCTATTAGTTGCCAGTGACTACTGTGATTGAAGTATATGGAGATTCATCCTAAAGCATACCTTAAGTTATAACAATTTTATCTTAGTATGTGTGGGATGCAGGACTTCAGGTTATCCTGACTTGCCTAGTTAGAAGCTTGGGGTTGCTGTTTGACAATTGTCCTCGTGCAGCAGATTACACTAATGGATCCTGAGGAATCATAGAATAGTTTGGGTTGGAAGGGACCTTTAAGGGTCATCTAGTCCCCCCCCTGCCCCATGGGCAGGGACATTTTCAACTAGATCAGGTTGCTCGGAGCCCTGTCCAACCTGACCTGGAATGTTTCCAGGGATGGGGCATCC